TCAGTGTTTAGCTGTGGGTGTCTGCTTCTACTTCCACCAGCTGTTAGATGAAGGCTATAGGATGACATTATAAGTTAGTCATCAATGTCATTATCAGGGGAGGGCATTTAAGGTAGCCTCTCCTCTGATGCTTAGATTGTTAGTTGGTGTCATCCTTGTAGATCTCCAGACATTTCCCTAGTGCCTGATTTCTCTTTAAACCTATAATGGCTCTCTCTATTATGATATCTCTTATCTTGCTCTCCTCTATTCTTCCCCCAACTCAACCTTCCTACTCCCTCATGTCCTCCTCACCCCTCCTCTTCTCCCCTTCTCATTTTCCTAGCTCCCTCTCCCCTCTCCCATGCTCCCAATTTGCTCAGGAGATCTTGTCCCTTTCTCCTTCTCTGGGGAACCATGTATGTCTCTCTTATGTCATTCCAATACTTGTATGATTTGCTTGATAGTAAAATCTTCGTAAAAGCACCTATGTCTCAGAAAGAATCACAAATTAAAACTTAGTTAAGACATGCTTTGGAATTCTTAAAGAACTGGACTAAATTAAATGCAAAGACATTCTCATTAAGTCAAAGCAATATTTTTCTTTCTTCTAGAGAACACAAACACAGAAATGCAGGATATTTTAATAGATTTTTAAAGTGGGTTTTATTTTATTTATAAATGTGTGTATTTTATGTATTCATTTGAAATGGAATTTTTAATAGCATGTATGTAGCTTACAAATCCACAAGCATGTTTTTTATCAATCAACACCTAAAATATATCTTTTGTATGCTAGGGTGAATGCATTTCCACATGAGCATGGCCAAACCACTCTTGACATCCAAACATTGGAAGAAACAAATGGAATTATTTTAAAAATGAAAAACACTGTAATATTTCCTGAACTAAAGTAGGAACTAGTCAACTTTATAATGTAATTGCCATGTTTGTTTCCATAGTTACCACTTCATTCACTGTGTCTCTAAGCACTGGTTCTATCCTGGTGGCGCAGGTGTATGACTGAAGATTCTGGTAGTCCTGTTGAATTTACAAAGGAGACACTCTCCTTCATCCCTTCACATCCAGAAGTCACCCATATTATCTGTTTTGATCTCCTTGGAGTATTTTTGGATCCCTCTCATGAAGAACTGATCTCCTTTGTAAATTCAAATCGAATTTTCTTCTGACTCAATTCAATCACTTGTAACATCACTGCTCACAGTTCGGGGTAGTTTTGGTCTAAAAATTTCCTTATGCACTAGTCGCCTAAAAAGCAGCCATCACATGGCTTTACTAAAACATCAGTAATTTTTATTAGATAAGCTAGCAAACTTATTATCTCTTCCCTTTCTTTCAGCTGAAGTTGTCTTGAGAAATAAGAATATTCAAAGGAGGTAAATAACTTAGAACAAGATACATACCAGTTGACTCTCAGATGCTGTAGAGGATGACAATAAAAGATTTGCCTGAAAATGTAAATATGATGGATGTTAGTGAAATTAAAGCATTACACCAAGAAATGATTCTTCTGAGCAATGTGGCACACAACCTCTGTTTTAGCTTACATAGTAGGGTACATGCTGTTTTTCTTTTAGCTCCCATAGTAGGGTGCATGCTGTTTTTCTTTTTGTCTTAATAGTATAAGCACTACCACATGATACCAGCGATTCTTCAAGGTTCGATAGTATCCTCTGTTTGTTCAATCCATATTTCATTTAAACATGAATTGTTGTTGATATTTTATCTTTACTTACACCAAAATAAAAAAAATGCAGTTTTTCTCAAAACAGATTCATATTAGGAGAATAATGTAACAGGACTCCCAGGAGTTGGGAATGGAAATAATTTACTTCCAAAATTCTTTAGAGAGCTTGTTGACATTATCTCTTGGTCATTGGTTCCTGTATTTCACTCCTTTTGTCAGGTAGCCAGATCTTTACAACTAGCTAGTATTTTACACTTTTCTTAGTAATATAATATACTTCAAAGTGCCATGCCTGGAGGCTAGGGATGATAGGGGTGGGCCCAGCAGAGGAAAGATAAAAGATGATGCTAAAGGAAGGCTACAATTAAACCTCATTCAGGCTGAAAGTATGAGTCACCAACTTCACTGTCTAGGGCTATAGTTACAAATCACATGTTCTTCAAGATGACTAAAGTCTAATTTTAAAATTCTTATCACATACAAAAAATATAATTTGGTAGGGAGATATATATTATGTTGATCTATTTTATCAAAGTTTTATAGTGTATGCACAGATGAGACATCACACCATTTTCCATGAATATAAAGTATTTGTCAATTAAAGATAAGTATAAATATTTATAAAATGGTAGAGCACATTTTCAGTTAAGTTACATTCTAACATCAAAGAAATACTGTTGTTTATCTTTTTGGTTGGTAGGTTGTATTTTAGGGTGTGCTGTTTGTTTTATAGGGTCTCACTACAACACAAAGTAGGCTCAACCTCATGACCTTCCTGCCTCAGCCTCTAAATGCTGACAATAGATGTGCAATCATTCCTTTCTTACAATTGGGTTATATAGGAACTAAAAGAGTGAAGACTACAAAGTGAAGATGTGAATGTCTGAAAGACAAACAACTATAGAGGGCCCCAGCTATGCTAGCCAGCTTTGCAGAAACTAATTTTGCTTTCCAAAGACATAATACCAAAACCACAAAGTGCCACCAGCCCCTTGTTGCTGTCTAGAGCTCCATTTCCCTGGAACCCATGTTGGAGAAACTTTAAAATTGTATCTTCTCATGAATATGAGACATAGAACTTATTCTGTCCTCTCCATTCTAGTGGAACAGAACCTGGTTGTAATTTCTATTCCTCCCTCAGCCCTTTTCATACACAAACACACTGCTGAAGCCCATTCGAACAGGAGGAAGGATACATGAAAGTGATTGGTGGAGTGCCATTTCTTGCTCTCTTGTGTACAACTGTTCTGCAACTCCCCAATCTCTGTCCTTGCCCTCTGGAAGCAGATCGGGACCCCGAGTGAGATTTTAGTCTCTCTTTCTCCTAAAATATATGCCTGGTACTGAGCAGCACCTGAGTCATTCCAAGCATAGCAACACCTCCAAGCATAGCAACAAGAATATGAGAGCTGCATAAATGAGAGAAGATGACCTTTATTTGAATATCCATGTATAAAGTGGAAAATATTCTTAGTAAGGTTTGACACATTTTTCAATATATTGTGATATTTAGGAATCAATATTCTCCCACTGTAATGACATTTTTCTGTCCCTTGAGCTCATTAAAATGAGATTTTACCTATAAACTATCATATATTTAATAAGGCTGTACCATTTTTTATGGAACTTAAAAGTAATTCATGAAATGTGAAAAGTTCATGAAATAAGTAACTATCAAATAGAATGCTACTCCAAAACCAAGGCTTTCTGACAAATTCATTCAAAACACAAATATTCCATTTTCTAAGATTGAATTTTACTAGGAATGCATGCTGTGATTTTAAAATTACATGAAAGAAGTAGATTTATAAGGTGGCAGTTCTTAAAAATAATAAAGGCAAATGCAAAGCAGCAAAAATTTTCTTCCAAATCCGAGACATTGAATGGAAACAGAAACAGCGTTTTAATATAAAACTTATTATTTCACACAGAGGAAAGAAACTGTCCCAGAATGAAGGCTGGGATGCATCTCAGTGGTAGAGCCATGGTCTGCCATGTAAAAGTGCCAGGCTTCAATTCCCAGCACTAGAAGAAGAGGGGGTGGCACTGACCTCATAGGACTCGTGGATGGTTTAAATGAGCTAGCTAAAATTTGTTTGCTGCTAGCTATTATTGTGCATTTTGTATCTGTTTAAGTTTAATTAAATATTTTTGATAAACTGATCTATTCCATCACACAAAATACCTAACACTACATTTCAATATGTTGTTATCCCTATTTTGTTTCTACTACATTTAAGAGTATCTCAGCTAAATTACTTCACAATAGCCTTTAATTCAGGCATACCTTGGCAGAAGCAAACTAAAACTATAATTAATCTAAACAAATGCAAGTATCATTGATCCAGACTGATCCTAAAACAGACTTAAAACAATAGTAAGACATTTAGTTTTAAAAAAAAGGAACATTATTGTCTACTGATCTTGCTGCTGTAATTTAAGGAAAACATTGCATGAGAGAAAGACACCATGTGACAGGGTTCAAGCACAGGGATTTTTTTTTAGTAGGGAAATGGATCATAAAAGAGGGGAAGGGGAGGGGGAAACTGGCCTCTGGGGACAGAAGTAGCAAGATAGAGGGACAGAGAGAGGGAGGAGGGATGGAGGGATGGAGGTACAGACAGAGAGAGGGAGACAAAGAAAGAGACAGAGAGAAGGATGGGAGGTGGGCAGGACCCTTTTGAAAGGGAACATAGTGAATGTGCACAGGTGGTGCTCTTAATGTCTGCAGCTGAGGGTGTATCCTGTCAGAACCTCAAAGACAGGCCAGTACAGACGCCTCAATACTAACACTCATGCCTTCCCTCCCTCCATCCCTTTTTCGTATTTCCTTCCTTTCTTCTTCCCTCCCCTCTGTCCCTTCCTCCCTTCTCCTCCTCTTGTTCTCCACCATTGTCTTTCTCTCTTTCTGAGAAGGAAACCTTCCATACAAGACCTACACAGAATAATTATTCATAAAACCCTTACTATTTAGTTAACCTATTACAATCATCACAGGAAAATTGGAAATCCCATGAGCATATTAACATGCTGATACACCAGAAAGTCCCTACTCTGTCTCTTTTAATATCATTCCGGTCTCTGGCCATTTCTCCCCTCTCTGTGTAAGAAAGGGGGTAGCTCATTTGATATTTAGTTACTTTTGTGGCCTCTATTGACATTTACATCTCAGAAGTGAGGACCCTGTCACTTTGTTCCCTTCACTCACCCAGGTGACCCCTCAATGACTTGTACATGTAGATGTTCAATAAATATTTGTCAAGTCAATGAAGAAAAGTGGACACCAGACTTAGGAAATACTAACTAGTTTTTCCACTACTAATGATCCCTGGATTATATTTGAAACTTGGGATTTAGTATGCTTGGTGCTAACTTACTCAGAATATCCTCAAGTGCAATGCAGTTCTTTTCTTGACTTTAATCCTTTCCTTATTCTGTCACCTCTGTGGTACACCTCTGTGGAATAGTGTGTAGTGATAATCTTGCTTGTCCAAATAAAGTTTGTTTGAAGATCAGAGAATGGATCTTGCCACTAGCTAACCATAGAAATCTGGAGGTTTGTACAGACAGACAGAAAGTGAGATGGTTTGACTGAACATATAAGCAGGAAGAAACAGGAACTCGCTCTCTTTTCCACTGAGAAGCTAAGGAGATAAAAGTGGCTTTAGCTTGCTCCTTGATCTCTCAACATTTTCCTGTATATATGACTCTGTGTTTTTATTATTTAGACCATTAGGAACTCTATTTACACTGGTGAACTGAATGGCCCCTGCTTTTGAAGAGAATCTTGGATTCTCTTCAAAAGTTAATGAAACCTGGAGTCTCCACATATGGGAAAGTGCCTAATTTCTCCAGGTGAGTGAAGTACTAAACTGTTAGCCTACAGACTTCTCAAAGTTCCTCTGACAGGACATGGGGGGATTAAAATGAGAAATTAATAAAATAAAAATTATTCAAAATTTGTACTTCAATAAAACATCATGTATTTCATCCATTACACTAGAATTTAAAAATGAATTATTGCTTTGTTCATTTTTTTAAAAAATCAGAATATATTGCATTTAAGACAGATGGTTGACATAAGAGAATAGCCTAAATATAAACTAAACTTCTGTCCTAAAATTATGTTATTTTCTACTCAGAGTAAATGCATCAGCTGCCACTTAGTAATTACAGTAACCGCAGCTATGTGTTGGTAAGTGTGAGTTGTCTATATGTTGACACCAAAAAACTGGTTTTATCTGCCATTATAAGATGCCCTCTTCCAAAAGACATATCTTACAAAGACACGGACTTATTTGAGATGCCACATACAATTCAAATGTTATGTCTAACAGAAAGTAAAAGGCAGAGCTTCTTGCTCAAGAAACAAACTTTAATTAAGGTCAAGAATCTTAGTAGAATCAAAGTTTGTTTGTTTTAATCTAATTCTGAATTTGTTCAATGAATCACAGTTAACTTAAAATGACTCAACTGCTCCCACAAGCTATGGGATAAAAAAAAAGCCTCCTTTAATTAGGTATAATAATAAAGAAACTTTTAATAATTGATGTGAAAACCTGAAGACCCTAGGCCTTACCTGTACCCCCACCAGGCATGGCAAGCCACTGATAACCTTAGCACTCAAGAGATGGTATCCTGGATTCAGCTGGCTACCTACACTAGCTAAAGTGTCAAACTCCCAGTTCAGGTGGAAGTCCCTGATTTGGTAAATTAATGGAAAGTCATTGAGGAAATTCTTGATGTCAGCCTCTCGTCTCCATATCCACACAAGTGCAGGTATTGAAGACACATACAGACACAAAAGTGCATAAACAAATGAATTCAAATTTAAAAAAAAATTAAAATAATGGATGGAGGTTAAAGCAGCCCCTCTGTAACTATTATTGGTGCTATTACATTGTGATACCTCCCCCTGGCGGGTTAGCTATTTGTGAAACTTCAGCCAATTGATAAAAATGGTTAGTTAGAAAAAGATGTTAGGTGCTTTTTCTTGGGACTAGTCCTTATGATGACAGAACACGTAAGTCACACCACAAAAAGAATATAAAGCTATTTCTAAATAGTGCTCTTTCTGCCCGACAAAAAAAAAAAATCAAGGAACCTCCTCAATCATGGGGCTTCTAGTCTTCTAACACTAGATAGGCACAAGAGAAGGGAAGAGATATGGATAAATGCAAAAACAAAGGGAAAGGAAAGAAAGGGACTATGATTTGTGAATAACCCCAGTGTGTTGAGACTGCTCTAAAGGCTTTTCACATAAGGACTATACTATATAAACCTTAAATTCATCAAATGTGAATGCTATCACTATCCCCTATCTTATGGATGAAAATGGAGGCATGGTAAAACAAAGTAAGTGACCTTCCTCAGAAGCAACACTTCCCACTAGGGTCTAGTCTACCAAAGTCTCAAGTCCCTCAGCACATTCCTCCAGAGGACTTCCAATAATAATGGAAACTGACAGAAAACGCATCCAGGAAATGCTCTGAACCATGTTCCTGCCACATCCCGTAAACATCATTTCCCGAATATGATAAAATTTAATAATTTCACCAAGCCATTGTTTGCCTTGGAGAGATCCAAATGAAGGCAGAAAGGTGTGAAGTGTGATGATGGCATGGGCACACAATACACATCCAATAACTATTTATCGTTGATAATGATGAAAAGTACAGATTAGAAAAAAACAGCTTGTGCTGTAAAAAGGAGTAGTTTAATGGTTATTTTAGACTAAATGTTCGATACTTGCTAGGAAACTGTCTCATTTATAGTAGAATATGTTTGTGCAGAAGCACATGAGGACCGCAATCATGACATAATGGAGATAAGTGGGGAAGGCTCTGTGTGCATAACATGCTAAGTCAGACCAAAACCATTAGAATTAAGCATGTGAGTTTATATCTGCATATTTGTTAGTGTAGTGTTCTTCTTTAAGACTTATTTATCTATATACGTAAGTTTGCATGTAAGTATGTGCTCCATGTGAGTGCTAGTTGCCTGCCAGGGACCAAAAACAAAAACAAAAACAAACAAACAAAAAATCTGTTCCTTTGGAACTAGAGTCACAGCCAGTTGTGAGGTATCATGTGGGTGCTGGAAACTCACCTGGGCTCTGTGCAGAGCAGTCAGTGCTCTCCTCCCCTAATGTATCTCTCTAGTTCCCTGGTTTAGTTTTTCTTATAAGCAGACACTGAACTACTTGATAATTTAAACACAAAAAAGCAACGAATTGATCATTCAATTAAACTGATGATTCCTTTGGATGCAGACTAACCCTGATGTGTCAAGCACATGCAGTGCTTATAAAAGTGAAGGCATCTAAGCTTTGATAATTGGAGGTGCAAAGGTCAAGTGATACAGTTCTGCTTTGTTTAGCTAAACAGATTAAATAATAACTCATTTAAGAAGGAATTCGGTTGATAAGGGTACTTGATGCTGTATATATCTAATATGATCCAATTTCCTATGCCTGGGTCAATCATAACATCTTACCCCTTTCCATTTATAAAAAAGTGAATAAATTCCATTATAATTGCTAAAGAACTGACTTTCCTTTAAAATACATGCAGGCCTCTATTAAAAGAGTAACAAACACAGTTAGAAAGATACTTACATATTTGGTTTCTCGACCAGCTGCTCTTGGATGCTTTGCAGGAGTCTACATGAAAATAAAAATAATTATGTATCTCAATAATTGGTGAATAATGAAAGGTTTAGAATTTAAGAATGCATCTTTTCCTCTACTGAGACTTTTCCAACCATGAGTCTGACTGATCTACACAAAATACCATTTATCTTTGAAATTTGTTCTATTCATTTAATTCTCTTCACAAGAATCGCTCATCAAAACTCTGGCAATTTCCTCTTATTTATTGATAATGTTAGCCAGGAGTTCTATAGCTCCTCATCACATTTCTTCTATAGTTTTGGCTGTCTCAGAATTCACTATAAATTTCTGTTCTATCTGTTCTTTGTGCTCCTTACACCCAAAGACATTCATCCCATTTCAATCATTCACTTTGAAGACCAAAACCAACTTTACTTCCAAGAATTACATGAAAGCTCTCTTAAATTTCAACTTCAAATGCCCTTCTCTCAAAATTCTATCTCTTTCTTTACCCATACCTTCATGTCTCTAATACCTCTGCCATCAACTATACTACAATGGGATATCTCAATTATTTACCCTCATTAACTTTATTCTAGTTCTATTGCCTCTTAGCTTATACCTATTTCGTGATCTTGTGTTTAATATTTCCATTTCTCATCCCTCCCTATCTTTGTGCAACATATTTGCTTGTAACACAAGAAAAGAAGACCTACATTGTCTCTCTGAACATCTTATCTCCGTACTTGTACCTGAGAAGTAAAATGTTTCTGTGGAAACTCTCAACCACAACTTTATTTAATGTTAAATAAATGGCCATCAACTTCACCTGTGCCCACTCCATTTGCCTTGGCAATACCCCAACATTGTTCTCTTGGGTCTGCTTTTTGAAGTTAGAACAAGATTTTCCAGGAACAGATTAGAGTCTGAAGAGTGAACCAAAAGACTCTACTTGCTCTTAATGATGGCTAGTTTTGGTTGTTAACTCAACGTGTTGTGGAATCAGATAACTAATTATAATAAGTGGTAGCATATTTGGGGCATTCATGGCATAATAGAGGCTACCAGGGCTCAATGTAGAGTAGAGAGTTCCAGGGGAGGACAGACCATGACAGTGTTGAAAGGCCTGATAATAAAGCATCTTATAAGGACTTTGACTTATATTCTGGGGGGAAATGTGTAGGTTTTAGGTAAGAGTCATAAAGAAATACTTTGACAGTATCTCTGCATAGTATGTTTAGAACAGAGTAGAGTGAGGTACCATCATAACAGTGATGCTACTGTGCTGGTTAGAAAAACATGACCATTGTTTAGTAACACAGAAGCTATGAAACAATCACATTCCACAGGTGTTTTGAAACTACAGTGAAAAAGACGTGTTGAACATGATATAAAGAGAAAAACTTCATGCAAAGCTTGTGGACTAAAGTCAATGAAAGAATACTATTAACAATATAGAAAACTGGTGGGTGTGATCACTTGAGAGAAAAAAGTCTTTGACTACATCTTTATCTGCATTGAGATTGAAAGATTTTGTAAATCTGATGTGTAACAAAGACTAAATAGATAGGAATCTAAAACTGGAAAAAAAATACTGGCCTAGAGGCATGCATTTGAAGCTGTCAGCATGTATATGATTTTTGCAAGGCTGGGTAACAATACTAAAAGAATGAGAAACCCAGGGACTGATAACTATGCATCACTCACGTTGATCAGTTGGAAAAGGCAGATGAGAAAGCAAAGGAATAATAATGCAGAGAAGGAATTGGGAGAATATGGTGCTTTTTTATTTTAAACTTACCACTGAAAGGCATTTATTGTGAAATTAGAACATCATCAAGAAATTCTTCGTTTTCTCAGTCCCAACATAACTATCCTTACATCTGGACTTCTGTCTTCTATTTTCTACTATATATAGTGGAAGCCATTCTCTCTTACTTATCAAAGAATATTGCAATGTAACACATAGCTTAAAAACAACAGGTCTTTAATTTTCTCGGTGCTAGAGTGTGGGGAGAATTACATAGGTTCATTGTATAATAAAGTCCTGTTTTCTCATTCACAAATTGAAAATTCCTGTTTCCTCACGTGGTAGAAGAGGTAAGAAGTTTCTCTTTGATATTTTTCATAATCCCATCAATTAAGACTCAGTCCCCATGACCTAATCACACTTTAAAAGCCCCATGTTACAATACCACATCAGTGATTACTTCCATTTATTAATTCCTGGAGGAGGGAGTCAGACAATAACACACTCCCTTTTTAATCAAAGTCTGATTCTAGATGGAATATTTTCTGCAGCAAGCCTATTCTTTTGTATAACCAGCACCTTACATTCACCTAACACAAGACTCACGAGTACAATAGTGTGATGTTATCATTCCAAGCCTTAAAAATCAAACAAAATTGTCTTCCTTGACTCCATTAGTAACCAATTTCTTTGTCTTTTTTTCAAAATAATGGCAGGTGTTATTTTACTCTACAGTTTTTGACTGCAGGCATTTAGATATTTTGTCTCTGCTGTCTTACAATCATTTGCAACTTCAGGGATAAGGCAAGCTAAGGAGTACAGCTGGGGAGTAAACTGTGTCACCATGTTCCTTTGTGATGGCTGAAAAAAAGTAAGCTGCTTTTTACATGGTCACACAGCCTGACAGCTTCTGCTATTCCTCAGTGATGACAAACAGGACAGTGACTACAAAAGAGCTGTGAGCAGGGGAGGAGGATGAGGCTCAGGGTTCCCACTGTGCAGGACTTTTGCAATGAGGAGCATATGCATTCTGAGGTAGACATTCCTCTTACTCTGAAAATAATGAGGAAATCTTGAGAACACTGATAAATCCTAGTACTGCTATTCTAGGTATCAGATGCACCTATAGAAAAAATATCTACAAAATTTAGGGGAGAAGTCTAAAGACTTTAGATGAAAGGTCATAGACAGTAACAGTAAGAGATACATAAGATGAAAAAGCACTACTAGACACCTATAAGAAAAATTAGTAATGCCATATAGAGTCAAATTGAAACTGGTCACTCTCTAGCAGTAACAAATATCATGAGGACAAAATATTTTATAAGTATGACAGAATCTAAACAGACAGAAGTCAGAGAAAAAACCCATCATCTTATTTTTTAGTAAAAAAAAAATTTTTTTGAATTACAATATTGATTGATTGACAGATAATGTCACTGAGGTCAAAGGACAACTTGCAGGAGCCAGTTCTCTCCTAGTATATGTGTCCAGCAAACAGAACTAAGGCTATCAGACTTGTGGGACAGTGTCTTTCCTTACTGAGCCATCTTTTCAGCCCAGGAACTATGCTTAAATGAAAGAAAAATGAGGATTTTTATCATAGATGAAGTTTACAAAATATACACAAATATATTCAGTTGAAACAATTATCTGCACAAAGACAAAACCAGTAAAAGTATGGATACATGGTAATGAAGGATCTAAATAAAGAAGAAATTAAAAAGTATATACATAAAGATTAGAATACATATCTAAAATATTCTAACAAATAATATGTGTATTGGCTTAATTTTAAAAAATAAAATATGAAAAGTACTTATATAATATTGAAAAAGGTATTTATGGGCTTTACAGATCAATCTCCTTAATGTGTGTGTGCAACCACAAAAATAAGAAAAGGTAAAATTTCAGTTTTAAAATAGTAAATGTCAAATTACCAAAAGGATAACAGAAATTAAACAAAATACCAAAAAGGACAAAAAGATCTAAATTGAAAATATTAATCAATATTAACGGAAGTCAGTACTGGTACAACAAATATTACAATATCTGTAAGTGGTTTAAATTCCCAAATAAACTGAATTTTACAATGATTAGAAAGTGATATGTGGAAATGTGTGAGCCTAAAGAAAACTGGGCAAAGTTATACAAAAAGACAAAAGATAAAAATATAGAAGACACATGTAGGAAAGCCTATTTTAAAAATTATGAATATAAGGTTACTTTATCACATTAAAAAAACTATGCTCAAAAAGATTACATTCTACCAAAGTTATAAAATTTTATATTTGAGACATATAACTATAACCATAAGCAATATAGTTTCAAGATACACAAGTCAAATCTAATAAAAATCTCTTCTAGATTTAATGTTTTCCTCCCTCTTGGTAGAAAAAAACAATTCTAGTCTTGTAAACACTCTAAAAGCTTTCATGATAGCACATTTCTCTAATTCTCTGATTCGCCTCTTAACATAACCTTTTTACTATGTTTGACTGGCTCCACCTCTACCAACCTGTAATGTTTTGTTCCTTGGAATTCTGTACAGGTTCTCTCATGTGATGTTCACATCTCTCCCACTAGCTACAGACTCAATGATCCATTCATACCATTCAAATTCAAACACTATCTAAATTACCACACTCTCTACGTTCCATTATGCTGTGTCTGTTTCCCTACCATAGGCCCTGGGTAGAGATGTAGGGTTCATTTATGACTCCTCTCTTTTATTACTCATATCTGAATTGTTATCAAGCCCCAAATCATTTGCTCATCTATGGCTCCTTTGAACCCACCTTTCCAGTTCACTATCAGTAACTGTACTCCCTACCTCCTCAGAAGCCTCTTTCCCACAGCCAGAATGACCATTTTTGCAACCTTCTATTTTCCTTGAGATCCAAATTGCATACCATGACATATATATTCTCAAACTAATTTTACACTGTTCATCCCTGGTTCACTAAACTTCAAATACACTGACTTTTTCAACATTTTCACAAAAATAAATCATGTTGCCTCAGGAAATTCATACATTCCTATTCCTTTGCCTGGAGATATTATTACTGGTCTTTCTAACCCCATTTTACATGCAGATCTCACAGTAAATTCTATCCTCTTCTTCCATAACTGTAGTAAGCTCCTTAGGATTTCCACCTGGGTTATCTTTAACTTTCTAGTGACTCAGAGCTGAGCCCATAGTGGGTACATAATAAATACTTGAAGGAAAGGAAATTCTCAACACACACACACACACACACACACGCACGCACGCACGCACGCACGCACGCACGCACGCACACAGACAAAATAAAAAAATTTATTTCTGAAGTAGGGTGGTAGCCAGATTACTTTTGAAACTCCCAACATCATAACAGCAAGAACAATATATGATCTCATTAGTTATTCAAGATATTTGTCCATAATGTTGCAACTGAAAATGAATAGTACTCTTTTAAGTCATGATAATCTGTACATTTAAAACCTGCTTCAGATACACAATGTCCCATGGTACACAGTTCATGCTGAAAGCATTTATATTCATTGAAAGAGAGAAAACAAAGCTAATAATGATAAAAAATATTGGTACCCATAAAGAAAAAAACAAAATACATCTTGAAATTGCGATGAATAGAGCTACATTAAGCAATAGAAGGTAATAAAACTGGGGAAATATATACTTTGTCATAGCAAATAGAAACAGTTACATTATGAAAAAGAAACAATATACAGAATAACTCTGACAGGCTAAGGTCTCCAAAGTTCTGCTTCTTTAAGTCACAGAACAGTGAAATCAGTTCAGTCAGAAAGAACTGAATTAACACCCATATGAAAGCTACAAGAGTGTTGCTTTAGTAAACTTCATATCCCAATTCTACACTTTTAAGTAAATGTAAATTACATTAATAATGGAGCTGTGGTTCAAGATTAATATAAGCTACAAACTTGACTTGTAAATCCACAAAATGCCAACATCCAAAAACCTGAAACATTGGTTTTCACACAAGTTGAAACTGATCCACAGCTAAAAACTAACTTTACAGTGCAGACTAAGTTATGTGTATGCATGTAAACAAACAGAAGTAAAAGTCAACCCAACAATTTGCTATGTGCACCTGGTTACTAGCTATTGAGTTGTTTTCTCCTTTTACTACTGAGCCTTGACTCACAGTTTGAAATCATCTATGTGGGAAATTGAATGGTGCAGTAAGCCATAATAAATATATACATACTTTGCTTGTTTCAGAACCCAGCGTTTTCTGTGGGGGCCGTGAAGGAGAACCAGAAGAATGCTGGAAAAGAAAAGAACAAAAGGAAAGAGAAGAACAAGCCCATGAGGCATCGTGGCTAGACAGAGGGAAATAAAGCAAAGCAAAGCAAAGGTTTGAATAGCACATTCTACTCTACAGCATTACCATAGACAAGGAGTCCTGCAAGACCTTATCAATGGTAGCACAGAGCTCTTCAGTTTGCTGCCTGAGCTGTGCAGGGAAATAGAACTGGAAGAATTGAAACCAGGAACGGGGTTAGCATTGAGTCTGGGGATTGCATACGAAAGCAGGGCAAGCCGAAGTCATTACCTCCACTGGTAGGTCTAACACGTTGGCCTTGGAGTTGCTTTCAGTCCTGGCTGGTTCATCTAGTGCCTAGTGATAAATGAAACAGTTCTCATATGAGGTTTCTCATTGATTCCAGTACTGTGGTGCTATCCTTACAAAGAAGTCCTGTAAATAAGTCTCAATGTTTCTAAGGAAAAAACTAATTAAATCATTTGGTAAACTATTCTCAGACATGAAGACACCTTTCACATCTGTCCAGTGTCTGCTTTGAAATCAGTGTCTGTAACATAAGGTGTAGTATTGATAAATGCTGGAATCTGTATTTTTTTACATCTGTTCTTTATTTTCTACTTTGCTTTTGCTTAATTTTTAAATTTTAACTGATTTAATGTGGCTTGTTTCTTATTCATCTTAACAACAGCTTGAGCCCATGTTAGTTAGCTACAACATCTGCAAAGCCTTGGAGTTGTTGCTATGAATTTATATTTTCCTTTGAATATGAATGGCATTACTCTGTTTCTTTGAATGCCTAAAAATTATGAACTAGAGGCAATAGTATATGTAAAAAAGACTCATAATTCTGTTATGAGCCCATAAATACTATTTTCATTTAGTTTTAAAATTTTTAACATTTTATTTACTTAATTGGTGTATGCCATGATGCATATGTGGAAATCAGGGGACTAATTCTCTACTACCATGGATGTTCCAATGAGAGCTAATAGTCTTGGTAGCAGGTTCTTTTGCTTCCTGAGCCATCTATCAGCCCTTCCTTTAGTTTTTGTCTTTAAACTCTGTCTCCCTGATACTGAGTAGCAGCCAAAGTCTCTAATCAGCTATTGCATACTATGTTTGGTATAAGTGATACCCAGAGTTTGTGAAGCAACACTTGGAGGTCTCCTTTGTGGAAACTTCCAGTATCTCCCCTCCCCTTAAATTCCAGCTTTTGTGTGACATCACATGTTTTTCTTTTTTTTTAATCAACAAGGCTTTAGTTTTTGCTATGTTTTAACTACTCTATAGTGAGTAAATAATGGTCAGTCTTGAAAGAAAATAAATACAACTTAGAGGCTAATCAAATATAATTTTCTTCTTTTGAGTAGTGACTCCACTGTAATTTCTGTCTATTATTCTAGTAACTTCATACCATCCTGTATGTTTTTGTGATGCAAGTCTGACCTCAAACTTGCTATATAGCCAAAAGATGACTTTGAACTCCTGATCTTCCTTCTTCTACCTCCCAAGTGCTAGGATTATAGACATGGGCCACCATGCTGCCTACTTTATCTGCTACTAGAGATTGAAGCCAGGACTTTGTGAAAGCTTGGCAAGTACTGTATCAGCTAAGCTATATCTACACCAAGAAGAATATTTTTAATATTTCATCTTGAGTTTATTTGCGATCTGTAAGATAACTGCCCCGATGTAGGATATCCCTCCATTTTTCAGAAGCAATGAGACAAGATAATTTTATATTTTAAGCTCACAAATTCCTTAACATGTATACTTTACAAATTCAAATTTCAAACCCACTGAAAAATAGCATTCTGGTTACTTTTTATCTACCCTAAACAAATATTATTGTCATTTCTTTTTTGTAAATAATTTTTCTCATCCATCATGTACTAGAGAATACAACATTTTAAAAAAAAATCTTATCTTTTTAACAGTGAGGGCACTTTCTGTTTCTGCCTTTCCTAGCCTTGTCTTTCCCTACTCTTGACTGCTTGACAATTCTTAGTTGTCAGTTCAACACCTTCAGCAGAGCATCAGAATCCAAATGAACAACAGTATTTGACAACTTGAAGATTCCTCTTAAATTTTAGTTATCAAATTATTTCCTCAGTTGAAGCACGTGGAATTGTCAGTATTCAATTGAAAATTACATAGGAAGATGGTAATGTCATAAGGTTGAAGCTGTTTCTATATATTTTATAATTTCTTTGAAAAATTTTTTCTCCATTTTTATTTAAATTAGAAACAAGATTGTTTTACATGTCAATCCCAGTTGCCTCTCCCTCCTCTCCTCCCCCGAAGCCCACTAACACTCTACCTATTCCATACCCTTTCTGCTCCCCAGGGAGAGTGAGGCCTTCCATGGGGGATCTTCAAAGTCTGTCATATCATTTGGAGCAGGGCCTAGACCCTCCCTGTGGGTCTAGGCTGAGAGAGTGGAGTAGGCTCCCAAAGTCCAAACGTGTATTAGGAATAAATACTTATCAACTACCAGAAGCCCCATAGATTGCTGTGACCTCCAATCTGACATCCTCGTTCAGGGGGTCTGGAACAGTCCTATGCTGGCTTCCCAGCTATCAGTCTGGGGTCCATGAGCAACCCTTGTTCAGGTCAGCTATTTCTGTGAGTTTCTCCAGCCTGGTCATGACCCCTTTGCTCATCACTCCTCCCTCTCTGCAACTGGATTCCATAGTTCAGCTCAGTGTTCAGCTGTGGGTGTCTGCATCTGCTTCCATCAGCTACTGGATGAAGACTCTAGGATGGCATATAATGTAGTCATCAATCTCATTATTGGAGACGGGCATTTATGGTAGCCTCTCAACTATTGCTTAGATTGTTAGTTGGGGTCAAACTGGTAGATCTCTGGACATTTCCCTAGTTTGAGAATTCTCTTTAAACCTATAATGACAACCTCTATTATGGTATCTCTTCACTTGCTCACTTCTATTCTTCCCCTGACTAAATCTTCTTGCTCTCTCATGTCCTCCTCTCTCCTCTTCTCCCCTTCTCTTTATTCTAGCTCCCTCTCTCTTCCCCCATGCTCCCAATTATCTCAGGAGATCTTGTCCCTTTCCCCTTCTCTGGAGGACCATGTATGTCTCTCTTAGGGTCCTCCTTGTTTCCTAGCTTCGCTGGTGGTGTGGATTTTAGGCTGGTAATCCTTTGCTCTATGTCTTAAATCCATATATGAGTGAGTACATACTATTTTTGTCTTTTTGTGACTGGGTTACCTCACTCAGGATGGTTTTTCTAGTTCCATCCATTTGCCTGTGAATTTAAGATTCCATTGTTTTGTTTTGTTTTTTCCCACTGAGTAGTAATCCATTGTGTAAATGTACCACATTTTCTCTCTATCCATTCTTCAGTTGAGGGGCATCTAGGTTGCTTCCAGGTTCTGGCTATTACAAATAGTGCTACTATGAATATGGTTGAACAGATATCCTTGTTTTATGAATGTACATCTTTGGGGTATATGCCTAGGAGTAGAATTTTTGTATCTTATGGTAGACTTACTCCCATTTTCCTGAGGAACTGCCATACTGATTTCCAAAGTAGCTATATGAGTTGGCACTCCCACCAGCAGTGGAGGAGTGTTCCCTTTTCTCCACATCCTCTCCAGCATAAGCTGTCATAGGTGTTTTTTAGCCATTCTGACAGGAGTAAGATGGTATCTCAGAGTTGTTTTGGTTTGCATTTCCTAACAGCAAAAGGATGTTGAGCACTTTCTTATGTGTCTTTCAGACATTTTAGATTCCTCCATTGAGAATTCTCTATTTAGTTCTGTACCCCACTTTTTAATTGGATTAGTGGGTGTTTTGGAAAAGCTTGATTTCTATGACTCAGGTGTGTCTTTAGCAACATGATCATATCTTCAAGTTCTAGAGAGTAACCAGCAGCATTTGCAATAGTCATTAATATTTGGAGGTCTTTGGAACCTCAGTGACAAAGAGCTAGCTCAATTGGATTTTTTGTTAGCCTGTGCTATCTACTAGAGTACAATTGTGCTGCTAAAAGGGAGATTCCATTTTAAATCGTTTTATGTATGTATACAAAATCTTCTGTAGTATGTTGCCATATGACTTTTTTTTAAGTATTCGGTGTTATTTCTGTCTCTCAGTATTCTCTCCTCTACTCTACCCTTTCTTCTTCTTTAACCTTTCCTATTTCATAATCTGTTTTTACCCTTTATACTTATTTATCTTTCAAATATTTTATAGATGACTATCGGTCTTTTGATACAGGCGATTTTTCAAGATATCTAGTCCTAATCCACTTTTGATATTTGACAATTTAACATCATTAAAGTCGTTCAAAAATATGTGGAATGAGTTTTAAGGCAATTATAAAAGGTTATAAAATATGATTAGTGAAGTAATTAGAACAAACCTCTGATCTCTTTAGGCAGTAGCTTTCAATAGAAAAATGATCACCTACATATATATGTCCTGGTAGGTTTGTAGACAGACAAATAAGACAGTTCTCTACTGGAAAGGATTGAATAGCGTGTAGAATAACAAGCCACCCTGTCTTCTCATCTGCATTCATATCCTAGTTCCTACCTTTAACTGTTATCCTGATGCTCACATATCCTGACTACAAAGTGTCATACCAGCCATGGAACCACAGGACTCATTGCTCATCAGAATCTGCTTTTTTTTTTAGCAGATCAAGGAATTACACAGATCTAAAATGACCAGTCTTCACTAGCAGGCACCATGTCTGATAGAATTAGGACATGAGAATGGAATATGCTTCTAAGAGTTCAGACAAAGGAACATGAAAGACAAAGTTCATCATTTCTTAATTTTAATAAGTTACTTTTTAATTTGGGGGATTCTAGTATAACTAGAATCTTCTATTTACTCTCTTCAAACCCTCCTGACACCCACCCTTGTCCTCTTTCAAATTCATGACCTCTTTTTTTCAATAATTGCTGTTACATGCATATATGTATGTATAAACATGCTCTTTAATACAACCTGCTCAGTTTTATCATGTTACATTTCTGTGTGTTTCCAAGGCTGACCATTTGGTATTGGATAACCAATTGTTGGGCTCTTCTTTGGGGAAGACAGCTTCTCCCACTCTCAGCAGTCCTTACATAGGAAAATGTTATCTGAAAATTTTTGTTTTCTAGCCTTACTTCTTTGTATTACAAAATAAAATTCAGAAAACCATTTATAAATGAGTCACCTTTATAGTAATTATTCTTTTGCTTTTTTCTTTTATGTTCAAAAATTATGATTAGTTGTGATAATGGTGAAAAGGGAGTAGAAAATTTCATAAAAACTAATTCAGAGAGTTTAATTTTCCCTGACAAGGTGTTTCTCATCTGCTTTTCACCCTGTAGG